GTTACTTGTAATGCCGTTATTCCCATCACTGGTTGTTGCAATCCTGCATACTGGAATAGGTAACTGAAATCTCTGATTATGCTTGTGTAAGCTTGACCTAGGTCAAAGCTAAGAGACAGTCTGGTACATCTGGGGAGAACAGAAACTGAAAATGGGGAAGATCTTAGCTTGACCTTGTTCAGTGGAAAAATACCCTTTATTCAACAGTGTGAATGTAATTTTGTATTGCAATGCAGTTTAAAGTATAAATGATTGTAATCCCAATCAAATCTAGGAGGCATCCTTGCCTGACTCCCAAACCATTTCAACTGGCTTCTAAGCTTTTCCTGTGTGGCTCTGTCCTTCACCCTATAAGGGAGAGACCAGCTGCCCTTCAGATCAGTCTATAGGTCACTACTCATGGCCACCATAGCTGAAGGTAAGAATGTCGACTCATCTGCAAATCTGCTGATTTTCAAATATGGACATATTGTCAAAGTCAGCCAATGCATATGGTGTTGGTACAGAGAGAGGTGTATACAGTATACTGAAACTAGGTGAACAAGGGAGCCTTCTCTTCCATAGGGCCACCTTAAGTGAGATAGTATGTGACAGCTGCAACTGTATAAGTTTATACAGGAGTGTTTGCCTTTATTCTGTGTTTTAGCAAATGAGAACCCACACGTGTAACAGCATCACGGACCGACTGGGAGTCTGTTTCTTTATTGTCTCAAGGATGGAGTAACACACAACACTACAAAACAGGACAACTGGATACCTGGTGAAAGAATTCAATTTTTCCCCTCTCCTGGAAAACAGCATGCAGAAGAAATCTTGGCAGTTAAGCTCAGTTCAGAAAAGCAGAAAGCAAATAGGACATTTGAGAGGAAGCACATTCCTGCTGCTGCTTTCACTACCCACAGCTCAGAGTCACAGTGAAAGTACCCAACTGAAAACAGCATTAATCATTTTTTAGTTTGCTTTATTAGAAGTACATTAAGTGTGCTAATTTAAAATGCAATAAAAATAAATTATAAATGTATTGACTACAAGCATACTTATTTCTTAGTAGTACTTCAATATAATTACTCAAAGTGCAGTAATTAGGACTTATAATTGAATGTGTCATATGTTGATACAATGCCAAACTGTATTATTGGAAAATTGTGCATATAATACCAAAAGAAAAACTAATTTAAAAAAAAGAAAAATGTTTCCCATCATTGTTGAATGGATTTTACTGCTGCACATGTTTACCTTGCGTTCAATGTAATACTTTATATTATATCCTATTTATTATATTTGATTTCAAATAAATGTTATTTATGTAAAGCTTATCTTTAAGTTCAATAAGGAAGATTTGTAGTCACACATCTGTCTGCTTCCCATGTGTTGGTGGCTTATTTATGCCACATCACTTCCACTTTCCCATGCTGTCAAGCTCATTGCGACATCACTGGTGTAGTCCAATCATCTTTCCACACGTCTTCTTAAAGGCATTCAGAACTTTTCCCTGCTGATGTTTTTTAACTAGAGTATTTAATAATTGAAACTATAACCCATGTTTCCAGAACTCTGGTGTCAGTCTTCATTTTATGCGTCATGACAAAGTGATGCACTCTGGAGATTTACTGAGGTCTTTCAATAAAATCGGGTCACAGGGGTAAATTCTTTCTGTGTTCTTAGTGCTGTGTTATCTCCAAAAGTCTCTCCCCTTCTCTTCCAGAACAAACTCATTTATTTTCTGTAGTTGTGTAACTCTACTCTGTCCAACAGAAACACAATGTTGTTATAATATCGTGCAGCATTCCAGCTGTCCACCGGAAGTGACAGCTGGAATCTCTCAGATTCCCCTGTGTTGAAGCCACCGAGATATCCCCCTAAGGATTGGCTTCAAAAAACCCTACCATGACTATCCTTTCCAGCCTTACTGACTAAAGTGCTCAAAGCTCTCAGATATAACATGTGCTATCCTAAAGCTGTTTGGTTGGGGGTTTTTTTTGTACAGCTTTTGTAAAATTACACATTAAGATTTTTTTTTTTTTTTACTTCACTTCAGTCTTATATACTACACATATCATTCATACCGATTGTGTTTTTCTTTTTAAAATACACATTCTGTAATGTCAGTACATTGTTTTATCGTGTAACTATAATCTGACACAATCACAGGCCAACAAAACACAGTGTTAGCTTCAACCACTTGCAGAACCACCTTTAGCAGCAATAACTGGAAGTACTGGTTTTCTGTATGGCTTTATCCATCTCCAACATCATTGTAGAGGAATTTTGTCCTGCTGTTCTTTACAACATTTATTTGTTTCACTGAGGTTTATTCATTCTAGGTTCAACCACAGCATTTCATTTAGGTTCAGGTCTAAACTTTGACTAAACCACAATTGCAACTATTTGAGTTTTTTTAATCTTTTTTTTTTTTGAACATTCTGTTGTAGATTTCATGTTGAAAACAAGTAGAGAGACAAGTGATGGAGCCACCAAACAGCAAGAAAAATACAAAAAAAAAAACCCATAACTAAACACAATTAATGTTGTGAAGGAGGGCAAGCATAGTTTTTATGTGGCAGACGAGGACAGGTATGAGGTGTTTTTGTTGATATGCAATGATTTTCTCCAAATATGGCACTAGCCAAACATCTCTACTTTGGTCTCGTCTGTCCAAAAGACATTGTTCCAGAGGTCTTATGGTGTTCTAAGTTGCAGCTTTGCAAACCAAAACTGTGCTGCCACATTTCAGAGAGAAACAGTCTTCTTTTGGCAACTCTACCAAACAACCCATAATTGTTCAGTCTTTTTCTGATTGTGCTGTAGTGAACATTAAGCATGTCTCCTAAAACCTGTCTGAGATGTAGCTCTTGAGTTTTTTTGCCGCTTCTTTGAGCACTGCACAATTTGACCTATGTTTTGAATTCTCCTGTGAAGACTGAAAACTGTCATGAAGGTTTTGGTGAACAAAATCTTGTTCTTCTGAACAATCTGCAGAACGATGAACCTTATAACACTTTCGAGGTTTATGCAATTCAAGGTCGTTGTTGAGGTTTTTCCTCCTTTCACTGTCACAACACAAACATCAATGCTCCAGAATCGCAAACTGTCAAAGCACTGCTTTTATATGTCTTGATGGATGCTTAATTATCAAATATGTTATTTTCATTCAGTACTTTAAGAAGCTTTGTCCCACCAAACCTGTCATGGAAGTTAAAGCTATAATTTGTGAGGGTGTGTGTGAAACGCCAAATATGATCACCTATGTGGTTTATTTTGGTTTTTTATTTTGTTGTTTTTGTTATAACAGAATTATATTCGTTCCATCAAAATCATTTTTTCACATAATTATTTTTTGGACTGATCTCGTTTTTCGGTTCATATTGCAAGAGACAATCGACTAATTCTCTTAACGGTAAAGCAGTGTGCACTTCTCGAAATAAAAATCCCATAGACCCAGAGACACACAGCTGTTTTTGTAAAGTATGTCAACAGTTGTTGTGTTATATGTTGTGTGTATGTATATTTCTGCTCGAAATCTAATTTATTACAGCATTTTTATGCAGCACATTCTCGGCCCCCCCAAGAGACCAATAAAGCACATAATCATAACCACATGTTGTTCTTCTATAGCTCTTAATCTCTACGATGTAAGACTGCTGCTCTGAGACCAGTTTGGCTCTCATTTTGTGTTGAAGTTTCACATGTGGTCTTGGCATTGCTCCTAAATCAGTTTTGTTTGTAGAAACTCCATTGGTGGAGTCGTACAGATCCATGATCTGTGCTTAGCACAATTAGATCGAGAGGCAAACCACATATAATTCATACATTATTTATACCCTTTTACTTATTGGTTAAATTGGGCCGCAATGACATTTTTAGTGCAGGTGGTTGTGCTCATAAAATGGAAAGTATAGAGAGTTCTATTAAGTGCAACAAAATATATTATAAACATATTCATTACAAGTACGCTTCTCTTTTGGTAAAACCTAAAGGTAACTACAAAAACTGTAATAATTTAAAGTTACATTTAAATTGACAATTAGTGCATTGACAGAGCATATACTTGAAACAAGTTTAAGCCCAAGTTCCACTGAGCCTTCAGTCTCAGGATCATTAGAAGAGCTTTTATCAATATTATAATATTTATTAAATATTTGTTTGAGGTTTTACCCTAAGCTTTATATGGACCAAAAACCCTGTTCTCAATCCAGTGTCATAGCACCTCTTTTGATCAGCAACAGCACTGATTTGTTATAAAACACACAGTAGAAAACATTTCAGAAACTCGTTACATCAACATGATTTTAAAAAAAGACACACCAACCAGATTTAAATACACAACTATATAAACTCTGAGAGTTTTAATAAATTCACATTTATGTTATCAATCAATACAAAGGTGAAAGAGTTGCTGTAATGACAAAAAAATGATATTAACTGGGTTGAGAGGACGATATTTTCTGCTGAACACAGTCAACCTAAGATCTTCAATTCCAATTCCTGTGTTAGAAACAAGCTGAGAGTAACAGTCTATTTTTGTAAGAAGTAATGACCGCACATCATCAGTCGAGTCACATAGTGAACAAACTCCTCAAAGTTCACACAGTCGTGTGGGTTTTCATCCAGCTCCCTCAAGATGTTGTCACGTTTTGTCTTATCCTTGCAGTTCTGAAAAACAATGGTGGCACAATGAAGACTCAAGGACTGATAAGTATATTTTTCACATCATGACTAGATTTGGACTTATGGTGGATATACAAAGAGAATGAGTTGTACCTGCAGCCAATTATCCAGCTCTTCTCTCAGGGTTCTGTCCAGCTCTTTTTTCCTCATTGTTTTGCTCTGTGTACATGTGTAAACCTTCTGTTTAAATATGTCAAGAACTTCTTCCATTGCCTTTTCCAGTTTGCTCATTTCTGTTTCCAATGCAAATGTCCTACTGAGAAAGTCCAAGGGAAGTGAGGTTAGACACATTTGAATGTGCCTGTGTTTAAATTCATCCACTGAACACTGAAAGTTTTACAATGCCTGAAGTATCACTTCTATTTGTAACTGAATACAAAAATGATTTACATTAAACTCCATTTATGCCATATTTTTTCAAAGGATATCCACACAGCACATAAATAATACTATATATTCAACAATATTGTGAAAACAAAAAAAATAAGAAAAGCAAAACACAAGGAGAGTGAACGATAGTTTCAGTATTAACATTTACACCTAAGCACGAGTCTGTAATTTTGTTCTGAATATTTTTGAAGGTAAACTTTTCTTCACATTGAATTTATTTTACTGGCTGAATAGAGAAGTAACCCTCATCCCCAGTGATAAGCATTACTGGACATGACTAAATGTTAACTTTTAAAACTTCTAATTAGTAATCTGTTGATCTAAAGTGTCATATATTATCTCAAAATGATGTACTCACCTCTGCAAAGATGTTGAGGAAAATCTGAGGATTTGAAGATATAATGGGCAGCTCACAGTTTTTATAGAGGGAGATAAGAATGAGGGCCGTCCTTTTGGGTGTTGCTCTAAGTGTCATCATCAACATCGTCAGATGTAAGTGTCATATTTCAAGGTTTCATACTGTAATCTGCATATTGCATTTTAATCAATTGTGACTGTTACAATATAAAAGTTTACTTTCTGTTTATTTTGGCTTTGTCATTTGTTAGTTTTTTCTCTCATGGTAAATAGCATGCAGAAGAAATATTGACTGAACTATTGATATTCGGAAAACAAAGTCAAATGCAAAGTTAAATTTATTCATATAACACATTTAAAACAAGGGCTGTTGCCCAAAGCGCTGTACATCTAAAATAATCAAGTAATAATAATTAGGATTATTAGGACTTTACTTAAACGTACTTATTGATAATTTGAATTGACGTCTAAGCCAGATTGATAAAGGAATAATTCAACAATAATAAAAGATTTTTTGTTTATACTTTGTTTATATTTTATTAGTCTTTTATTTACCTTTTACTTATAAATATAAGTAAAGAAATACCATGTTCCAGTGATGTGCAGTGACTTTTATTAAAACTCAAGCAGAGACGATCTATTTTCAAACACACAAAAAAAAATCTCGGTAAAAATAAAAGTGTATTATAGGAAAATTGTGCATAAAATATAAAAGGTAAAAATAATGCATTTTTTATAATAATTCTTTATATTATATTATATACATTATATTCAATTTCAATTCAGTTTTATTTATATAGAGCCAAATCACAATAGTGGCTAAATATTGTAAGGTAAAGAGCTTACAATAATAGGGAGAAACCCTAACAATCAGATGACAGTGGGAAGGGAAAAACCTTTTAATTGGAAGAAATCTCCAACAGGACAAGTCTCAGGTTAGGTGCAGCCATCTACTGTTTGGGACTATTTGGGAGTTGGGGGAGAGAGACAAGCCAAAGACATGCTGTGGAAGGGTTGGTGTAAGAGAGCCAAAGGTCAATAATAACTCATAATCCAATACAGAGTAGTGTATATACACATAATGTGTGAAAGAAGAGGAAATGTTCAGTGGACCATAGTAAACCCCCAGCAGCCAAAGTCTATTGCGGCATTACTAAGGGTTAAAGGAGCTTGCAAACTGAAGAACCTTCTCGGATGAGAGGTGAAACGTCTTCAAGCAACTTAAAGAAGTCCAGACGCTTTTCTTTGCAAGCTCCTTTGACTACGATGACCTGGATGACTGAGAA